TAAGTAAAATGTCATCAATTTTTGAAAGTATTTAATTAAAAAAAAAATTGTCATAAAAACTTTGATTAATTTATTAATTTTTAAAACTAGTTTGAGCGTGGGAAAGCTTTTTCTTCTATTTTTTTCGAATTAAAAAAAATCTTTTACGCAATAAAATAATATGAAATCATGAATTTGTCATGACCTACAATTTTTAGATTATTCTCAATGTAATAAATAACTTTGATATTTTTATAATTTTCTTTTGAAAAATTGGGAATTTTTAGTTTATAATTAATTTTTTATAATTAAAAAACCAATAAATATTTTTGTTGAAAAAGTATCAAAATTTATTTTCTTGAACATATTTGTTTCAGATTATGACAAAATTAAGATTTCATATTATTTTATTGCATAAAAAATGCAAAATTGAAAAACATTTTTTTTAATTTCGAAAAAAAAAAATAAAAGAAAGTTTCCTCACGATCAAACTAGTTTTAAAAATTATTATATTACGATAAAATTATACATATATTATTATATATTATATTATTATTGTATGTTATTATATATTATTATATATTATTATATATTATTATATGTTATTATATCTTATATAGTATTTACTATATTATATATTACGTTTAAACATGTTGAAACGTTCAAGAAAATAAATTTTGATACTTTCTTGACGAAAAATATTTATTGGTTTTTAATTATTAAAAATTAATTATAAACTAAAAATTCTCAATTTCTCAGAAAAAATTATAGAAATAAGTAAGTTATTTATTACATTGAGAATAAACTAAAAATTGTAGGTCATGACAAAATCCTGATTTTATGTTATTTTAGGGGAGACCGGGGACAAAGTAACATTTTGAATTTAAAGTCTTATAACAGTTAAATTATAATATTTACATTTAAAAAAACCTATATTTTTAGATGTAGAATTTATTTAAGTACAAAATTTTCTTGTGTTCATTCTTGTAATGTAACTAGGAAAATGTTATTACTGTTTAAACACTGAGGAATACTGTTACAACTGTCTTCAGCCCCTCCAGGAACAGTTGTAACAGTAGGGGGAGACGATTGCATTATACGAGTATTATTTATAGGTAAACACTAGGGTGGAGCGATTTCTTATCCCTTGTTGTGCTTGTATTTTTTTCGGAAAAGGCATAAAAAATGATGAATTTTGGTTACAAGCGGAAATTTTTAAATAAATATTTACCCCTAAAAAATAAAAACATCGTTTTTTTCATTTTAATTTTATTTCAATTAATTATCGGTTTATTATGGTACATAACAATTGTTTCATA